TGATAATTTAGAGATGTAATGAGATTAATGAGATTGATGCTTCTGAGGCATACGCGGGGAGGCGCATCCCATAGTGAGACATCGAACGAAGTGTTATGAATGAGAACAGTAACATTTGGAGCTTTATTTATGTTAGAATGAAACGGGTCGTGAGTGACTGACAAATGAGATTTAATGGAGGAAGACATAACGGGCCGTCTCCACAGCAGCGTTAAAAAAATCTTGGAGGTGGGCGTATCTGAAGCTTGAGGATTTTTTGCGAGCAACCAATCACATGAATCTCCCGCCCGCGACATACGAAGCAAAAAAGCCCGAAGTAAACTGGATATAAACTCCCCAAAACAGGCGAAAACCTACCACTGTCTCTGCCACCTCCCTCCATGCCTGGCTCCTCCGGTTTATATCCCGGTAGGTCTGGTCATAAAGCACCGGGTGATTGATTCGCTACCGCTAATTTCTCCTCCATTTTTTGGAATATGAGGAAATGACCTGCGGTATGTCTCTCCCAGCATACACGCGGTTTGATTGGCTAGAGCTTGAACTGTCAGATTTGCGTACACAGGATTTGATTGGCTGACGCTTCCACCTCAGCCTCAAAAGTTGAACATTGTTCAACTTTGAATCCTGAAAATCCTGAAAATCTCCGCTCGCCTGCCCACAAAGCATTTCGGCGAAAAGTGAGGGAAAGTGACGTCACCCCATTCAAAGTGAATGGGCAGAAGCGTTTCAAGATTTTTTAACGCTGCTGTGGAGACGGCCCGTAAGGGTCCTCATGAAGTCTGCTGATCATAACGCAGAAAAAGCTGAGTCACAAGGAAAACTAAGCTTCATCTCCAAGTCCAATGGCCTTCGAAGAGCTGCTAAGGAAAAGGAAAGACATCTGGAGACTTTGGAGAGACAGCTAACGGACAAACTCAAGGAACTGAGAGACATCTGGAGACTTTGGAGAGACAGCTAACGGACAAACTCAAGGAACTGAGAGACATCTGGAGACTTTGGAGAGACAGCTAACGGACAAACTCAAGGAACTGAAAGACATCTGGAGACTTTGGAGAGACAGCTAACGGACAAACTCAAGGAACTGAGAGACATCTGGAGACTTTGGAGAGACAGCTAACGGACAAACTCAAGGAACTGAGAGACACTCCCTAATAGGTAGGGATGGGTACCAAGGCTGAATGATTAAAGACCGTGGTACCGTTAAGCTCCGGCGTTATCGGTCTTTTTATCGGTACTGGAGACATGTAAAACATATATGTCATATGTATTATTGCTACACAAACATTATATTGCATTGCATATATTGTTTTAGTGTCGCCAACTCCGTTTCTAATATGCAAGACTGCAAAATGCGTCTATGATTATTTTGAGTATTTTCGATCTTTCCAATCCAGACGAGAGATCTCTCTCCCCCGTCCGTGTGCGAGGGGGCGGGGCAGTTTACACACGCAGCTGCTACATGCAGCAACTTACTAGAGATGGCAAATCCGGATCCTTTTACGGACTCAGGGTCTTCTGAGTCAGTCATTGAAGAGATCCGGATCATACGAGTCATTTGAGTCATATGAGTCAGCATCACCAAGAGCGTAGAAATCCTATTGGTGAAACCGAAAAGTTGATGCATTTCACGAGCATATTATTATTCCATATATATATATAATATCTGCATGTATATTTTCTATTTCGACATGTATATTTTATATTTTATTTTATTTTTCTTTCTATTCTTGTATATTTTGTAGTTTTGTTTTATTGTAAAATGCCTTTTATGCTGCTGTAACAACAATTTCCCAATTTGGGATCAATAAAGTACTATCTATCTATCTATTAAACTGACGTTATATTAACCTCCGCTATTTTGCTTTAATAAAAAATGTTGATCACAAAAAAAAGGGTTATTTTGCGATTTGGCGAATCTGAGTCTGCTGTTGACTCGTGCATGAGGACGAGTCTGCTGGATCTCTGGATCTGCTGCTATATACGGCTCAGAGTCCGCACGAGTCTGCTGTGTGTTGCAGCGAGTCAGGATTTGCGAATCTGCGAATCTGCGAGTCTGCGAGTCTGCGAGCGAGTCTGCTGTTGATAGCGCGGGAGCCGGGTGCTGGAGGAGGGGCTATGCTCGTGCACATGACGAGATCGCTGGATCTGCTATGCTATTACGGTTAGGAGCCGTCGGCTCCTCTGAGTCCCCACGAGTCTGCAGGAAGTTTCACTGATCCGCGTCCCCTCCCCTGAGCCAAACGATCACTTCTGGCAGCTGTCCTGTATACTTGCTAAAGGGTAGATGGACTGGGGTACGTTGTAATGTGATTTTACATGTTATAAAGAGAGTAGCGAGTGACGCAATTTATAGTTTTAATTTGTACGTCACACCAAGTGTGGGACTCAAGGACTCGGGTTAATGGAGAGGGAAGACTCGTCACGACCAGCTCATTTCTAGGATCCGGGTTAATGATCCGGATGAATCAGGACTCGCCCATCTCTACAACTTACTGAACACACACACACGGAGGAGATGGCGGAGAGAACTCGCTCCGAGGTGTGGTTAAACTTTACCCGTCTCGATGTAAGTAAGTAAGTAAAACTTTATTTATATAGCACCCTTCTCAACACGGATGTACAAAGTGCTTTACAGTACAGTACACAGGACACAATTCACAGTACAACTATAAAATGTAGAATAAAAGGCATAAAACAACAGCAGGTAATACATAGGATAAAACATACGATAAAACAATAAGACAGCTACTAACTCACCTCCTCCTGTCGGAAGAGGTAGGTCTTTAACTTGTAAGAAATTAAAATCAATGTTTAATGATGTAATTTAGTTTAAACATACAGTAAGCTTAAAACTGTTTTATTGTGAAAACATTTCCGGTTAGCATTCGCCTGTGGCTAACGAGCTTAACTTCCGGTTTTACGTAAATAACAATTAGAGCCGTTAAAATGCATTAAATAAAAAGTCATGAAAGAGATTAAGAGGAGAAAAGGCGTGTGGAGTTATACAAGCCAGACACTACGTCTAAATCCTCTGTTTTACGCGATATCGGACATAGAAGACCGAGGGGGAGGTCCCCCTGCAGCCGCCATTGAAGAGGAGGAGCCAACGGAGGATATATAGATCGGGGGAGAGCATTGTTGGATCTCTCTCCTTCGCTGCAGCTTCGGGACCACAGCTGTGTTGTCCAAACTACCTTCTGTTTGTTCCATTACCGCGCCATTTAATTAAAGTACCCATTTGAACCTTTTGAGAGACTCCATTAGTCTCTTTATTTAAGCTTCTCTCCTGGACGAATACTTCTAATAAACTGCCCCTTAAAAATCTCTATTGAGGCAGAGGTTTTTATTTTCTGGGGGAGTTTGTTCCATAGCCTTGGGGCCACCGCCTCAAAGGCACGGTCCCCCTTAGTCTTTAGCCTGGTTCGGGGCACCCTTAGGAGGCCTTGCTCAGAGGGGCCCGGGTTGTGCTGTGAGGGTGGATCAGGTCATTAATGTAAGCTGGGGCTTGGCCATGGACAGCTCTATATGTGAAAACTAGGACCTTGAATTGGGTTCTGAGATGGACAGGGAGCCAGTGCAGGGCAGAAAGAATCGGAGTGATGTGGCATGTTTGGACCGAGTGAGCAATCTGGCTGCTGCATTTTGGACCTGTTGTAACCGGTTTATTGATGTTTTGTTGAGGCAGGAGAACAGAGCATTACAGTAATCAAGCCGGGATGAAATAAAGTCATGGATAGCCATCTCCAGTTGTGCGTTTGATAGAACCCCCCTGAGCTTGGCAATGTTTCTGAGATGGAAAAAACAGGTACGGGTCAGAGGTTTGATGTGTTTGTCTAGTAGGGCTGTGCATCTTCACTGGTCTCACGATTCGATTCGATTACGATTATCCTGTCAACGATTCGATTCAATTCGATATCCCGATGCATCACGATTCATACCAATGCGTTGCATCCTCAATTTTCTATATTACTGCACATGGCTTCTTTTTCATCAACGCATACATGCAGTAAATACATATGAACTCTCTTTTTATTATTTAGAAAGTGCTTCAGAAATCAATAACATAAATGTCTTGACATTAATTTATAAACCAAAATAAATGAATTGTATAGGTCTAGCCTCCCTATATCTGTGTGTGAAGTTGTTCCATCCTCAAAAACAAAAAACTAATGCTTCTGCAGTCTAGCTGCAGCTTCTAGCTACGGTCTTCTGTTAAAGAGAGGACACTGAATGTCCTGAATGTGGCATCACACACAGGACTTGAGTCTGAACACAGCAGACAACAGGAGTATTTACAATAGCATATACAAACAAAAATAGTGCATGTGGGTGCACACTTACATTCTCTGTCTTACTGTTACATAAATCCCATGAATGTATGAGATTAAGTTAGCTTCATTATATCTCAATCAGTGATTAAGTGAATAATAAAGTTTCTATCGGGTCACTATCAGCCTGTCACTCATTATTTTCAGGGAGGGGGCGGGGCTTGGAGGAACGGAGGAGACGGTGATCGCGGAAGCTTTTTTCCTCCTGCCTTCACAAACTTTACACACGTATATAATAATATCGTCTGAAAATTGCTAGAGGACATTCATACTCTGCAATCCAAGACTTCATTAAATCCACCAAAAACCTGACATGATTGTAACGCGATTATCTTTGAAAAACATAAATCCCAGTGTCTCTGAGCCGCAGCGACACGGAGTGATTCAGAGCGGGTCCTTCTGCTGTTGGTTCTGGACTGGTGTTGTTTTTTTTTTGTTTTTTTGATAGCACAATCTGTCTTTATTCAATGATTTTTGAAATCTTCAACTCTTTGACTCCAATTATTTCAAAATAGTATCAATTTACAAAAACATTTGTGAAGAATAAACCTCCGACACTGGAATGCATGACACATGACATACTTTAAATGAGTATTTTTTAATAACTGAAGAAAAATGTGGTTTTAACACTATATTATTGAGAACTTTGAGAACTTTTTTTCAAGTGTGGTTTTCATGACAAAATGAAGTATTTCTGTTTTTTTAGCTTTACGTTTCTCTTGTGCCATTGGTACAAGAATAAAGTTTGTGCTAATCTGAAAATATTGTATACTTTTCTTAACGGAGAAGAGAGAGACTTTTGCTCTCTTGACACTATGTATCATTTAAAGATGTCAAGCATACTTTACTGTAATGGTTTGACCTTTACAGTGTGTGTTTATCAAAGAGGTATTCTCCCATTGGACCGTGTGTCTCGGACGCAGTGATGCGGATCAGACTGCCAATGTAATTGCCCAGCTTCTTGATGGTGTCGTGGCTGTCTGGGAGGAAGTGCTGCTCGAGGAAGTCACACAGGTGAGGGTCAGTATGGGTGCCAGCTCTGCGGTGCACATCAAGGATACAAGTGTTGAGAACCTTCTGGTAGTCCAGGGAAAAAGACATTGCATCCAGACCACCTCTCCAATCCTCTCTACTTGGTTTAGCAATAGTCTGAAGCAAAATGTGGCCGCCTCTCATGTTCTGATATTCCAGCAGCTTCTCAGCCTGATCCCTCTCTTTCATGGAGCGCTCCAGGAAAAACGTGGAGAATTTAGGCAGGGCAACATCATCCCTGTCAAAATACATCCCCAGAGAAAGGTAGGCGTAGGATGCATTGAGCTTCAGGTTGATTAGTTTGTTGACGTCTCCTTCAGTCTCCGCATGGAAGTTTTGTTTTACCACAGACTGCATTTCTGTCAGTAAAAGTAACGCTACTCCACTTCCCCAGTACTCTGGCTGGCTTTATCTTGTTTACAAAAAAAGAAACAGAGACCCTCCTCTGGCTAACGTTAGCTAGTTAGGTCTTTTCCTGGACTGGTGTTCTTGTGTTGGTGGATAAAGCAGACTGCTCCGTGTTTGGTGTTGCTGTGCCGCTGTCACGTCTGTTCCCTGATCTCTGCGTCACCGACCGATTTGATATTAAAGTGACAGAAAAAAAAAACGTTGTAGTAAAGCCGCGGCCGGAAAATCAGGAAGCAACGTTACTACGCTATAATCGATTATCTTCCGTCACTGCATCGATACCGAATCGTCCACGTCCGCATCGCAATGCATCGTAGAAACGATTATTTTCAACACCCCTATTGTCTAGTAGCATAGACTGATCGAAAGTTACACCAAGGTTTGCCCTAATGTTACCACTGAATGAACCCAGGTGGCTTGCTACCTTAGAGGCGATGTTATCAGCCGCTAAGATCAAGACTTCCGTTTTCGATGCATTGAGCTGTAGGAAGTTGCTTGACATCCACTCCTCAATTGCAGACAGACATGTGATGAGGGTGTTTACATTTTCCATTTTGATGGGTTTGAAAGAGAAATATATCTGGATATCATCTGCGTAGCAGTGATACGAGACACCCTCAAATTGGCTAATTAAGCGGCCCAATGGGCAAAAAGAAGGGGGGCTAAAACAGAGCCCTGGGGCAGGGAGTGCTATGTGATGAGAACGGGCCCACCGCCACGGAGAAACTTCTCCCACTGAGGTACGAGGCAAACCACTGGAGGGATGTGGACAATGAACGTTACCAAAAGTGCAATAAGAGTTTAGCATGTAAGGGCGGTAACACGAGCAATTTGTCGAAACATTTAGCAAAAGTGCACCACATTCAGACGGAGGAATGCAACGTTTTCGACTGTCTTTCTAGTAGCTCTGTAGCTCTATCCACGAGTAACGTTTCCAGCACATTTTCAACAAAGTAACGACATGAGTCCCAATATTAATTGAAAAGCTTTTATTGATTTAGAAAATGTTTTTAATGATTAAAAACATAGTTGTAACTGATTTTAAATGACATGCATCCGCTACGAAAAATAGTCCGTTGTTGATGTTTAGGCTACGTTGCAACGGCAGGTGTTACAGTACAACTAGAGTCATGGCATTCTATTATTTTCGTCACATGAATCCGGGGCGTGTACATTGAGGAGCCATTGTTGACTTACCAGGAAATAAACATTTTGATCGCCTCGTTTCTCGTTTACATTCATCTTTTGCTATATCTGCCTTCATAAGATCACTTTGATGCACATTCAGTACTCATATGTGAGGTTGTGGGTATCGACGCTGTTAGAAAAATATCACTCGACACCAGGTTGAGAATCAATGATCAGGTACTAATTTATTCTTGCAAGAAGGAGCAAAGTTAAATCACATACAAAGGATATGGTTTAACTCCCACACATAGGTATGTTGCTCAAAGGAGCAGCAAAAAACATCAGGCTTATATAGTCCAAAACGAGGTGTCGGGAAGATGGGACAACTGGATGGGTCATCTGCGACTTCTGGACTCCCAGCAATGTGAGATAACAAATATGTGCCTGTCTCCTCAGAATAGAACAACAACCTGAAATGCTCTGCTTTCTGTTATCATAAGGAGGCCGTCTCAGAGCCACACATGATATCAGTGCATTAAAACAACCCAAAGAGTGGAGAAAACAGTATTTCTCCAACATATCCCTCCTGTTTATACCACGGAATAACATAGAACTTGGAAAATACAAATGATTATAAAGCTTAAAAACTCATATACGGGTCATTCTCACGAAACTGACACAATACAATGGCACGAATGATTTTAAATATAAAACATGTGATTTAGTGATATAACAAAATATTATTATAAAGATTATAGTGGTCTCTAATTAGAACATAGAGTAATTTAAACATAGGAAGGAAATATTTTTGTATATTATTGCATTTTTGCCTTGAATTCTCATTACCGCAATGCGTCCAGCTCTGTCTGAATGGATGTTATGTCTTAATTTAACCTGATTAAAATGAAAATGTTCTGAAAAAGACACTCTCAGGACCCTAGTTGTTTTGCAACATCGCCACCTAGCGGATTGGATGACCGCAAAAGTACAACCAGCGAGTATTGAGTCTCATACACTGCGAGTCTCTTTAGACATTGTAATGCTTGTTATTAACCATCTAAAAATGCATGAAAATATGTTTTTCTTACTGAAATTAGATTATTTTTAATAACAAATGTATTTTGTATGTCAGATGTAAAAAGATAGTCTTTTATATTTGTCTTATCAAATTTGACATACAACATAAATATAAATATATATATATATTGTAGTAATAATGATATAATCTATTTATAATTGTAAATGTATATTGTATGTAGACATACATTTAGATGTATATTTTGTTAAAAGAAAACAAAACTTAATTTAGTTTTTGGGAGAAGGGGTGGGGTTAAATAAGTGTAAACTCCTTTGAATCAATTTGATACTGCTTATGTTTCTACAGTATCATAATTCTCTTGTTTCATTTCATTATTATATATATATTTTTTATTGTATTACACGTTCGAAATAAATCAAATCAAATGTGTCTTTGAAGAGGTGCTAGATTACTCAAAAACAACTGTTAGTGTGTTTATGCACCAGGCTGCAAAAGATAAACATGCAATTTGACGAGAGGCATTTCAGTACAAAATACATTTGTATTTATTGGGCACAATTTCCACACTGTGGATTGTTCACTGGGGTGAGGCGGGGTCTGCTGTTCCCTCAACCACCAGACAACAGCTCCAGCTGCAGTACCCCGGGAAGCCCTCTTCTGAGTAAAAACCCTGTAATATTCCTCGCCGTCCACTTCCCCGGTAGCCTGTGCCAACGTCCTTATACAGGTTGTCGCACTGAAAGCACCTGGAAATTTGGTAGGCCTTCCTAAATTCCTGTTTGTGTCCCTCTGTGAAGATATTCCAGTTGACGACACCTGAAGTAGAATGTCATAAGAAAATTACAATTCAGACAGAAAAACAACAAAACCTTCCTTAATTTAGCTGACCTTACTCTTAGTCAATCAACTTCATAATATTCTAACCTACAGAATAGGCCGACATAATAACTGACTAAAACACCTCATGCAATATTACAAAACATGTCAAAATGATGAGACTGTCTGATAAACAGTAAACAGGCAGTCAGCACAGTTAAGATTATTTACAATGAATTCAAATAGTAATACAATGACTATTAAAGAAGCATTTACACTGAAGACAGAACTTATATTAGGCTACTGCTGATTTAATGTAGCGGACAGACAGATCATATTGACATGCTTTTGTCATCCTTTGAAGTTTAATTAATTAGCTGACTATAATTAATGATCAGGGTTGGGAAGTTTACTTTTTTTAAATGTAGTAGGTTACAGATGACTAATTACCCTGTTAAAAATGTAATAAGTAATGTAACTATTTGTATTGATATTCTAATGTTAATTATGGTTATTTTATGTTTTTTGTGAGTCACTTTGGATAAAAGCCTCTGCTAAATAACATAACCATAACATACGGTTTCATTAAACAAATAAACAAAAAGGCTAACAGTTGGTTTTGCAGCGAGTCATCATCATAGGCTAACAGATGACATTTAGCACGTGTTGCTTGTATTGCTGTCCAATTGAATACACCAGAATAGTTGTTAACTTTAAACAAACAACATGATTCACATTACTCACACTCTTACTGTAATTAGTGATTAAATCAACAATTAATGTAGGACACCTAGTTGGGCTTGCCAAAATCACGCTACAGTTTCATTAAACAAATAATCAAATATGCTAATGAAGCTAATGCTTTTGCCGAAAGCTATAGCTAACAAATAATTGTTTTTAGTGCCTTTAATACTGTTAGAAGCTATCATAAGCTAACAGATGTTTGTTTGTATTGCCTTAAGACTATCATAGTTAATGTTAGCTAATCACACTTCATTTCAAGACACCGGAATTGTTATTAATGTTAAACAAATAAAACTTTAAAAGCACTTCACACTACTCACACTCTCTGCGTTGTCGTTCATATTCATGTCTCCTGCTCACTAGGTGGCGATGTTGCAAAACAACTAGGGTCCTGAGACTGCAGCCTCCGACGCTGCAGCTTCATACTACTCGTTTACAGACACAAAGATCATTTTAAATAAAGTTTGATTTTGAATGAAGGAGCACATCTGCAAGTTCATTCAAGATGGCTACCATATCTCTTTTTATTTCTCCACTTAAGTTAAACTTTCTCTCGTAAGACTACGTACACGACAATATCGTTTCTCATTACTGAAACAGTTGTTTTTAAACATTCAGAAAAAAGTTAGATTTATAATTTTTTATGAAAATATACTTAAGTTATGTCCATTAATGTACATTGAGTAAAAATGTGCTTACTCATCATGGCTTCCCTATTGTTAGCAAGAAATGCTAATGCTCCTCATACACCGCAACACCTTTCTCACTTACCGCTACAATTTAAGGTCAGTTGTGGTCGAGATAACTTCTGTATCGGTAATGAGAAGTTAACCATACAGTATGTATGTTGATATTATATATTATATATAATATACAAGGTGGTTTTTAACTCTATTTTTGAGCTGACGTTAGCCTTTAGCCTCACTGTCCTGCTTTCATAAAGATATTTTTATTTTTATTTAAAGGGCTTTATTAAGTGATTCATTATTTATTTATCAGATTTACTCGGTTATTCTGAAAATAATTAGGCCTAAGTTAAATATAATGATCATCAAAGCTAAGGTTAGCATTTAGGTTGTTCAGTGTACAAGTTCCCAGGGTCTGCTTTGCTTTATTTTGTTATTGGTTGGATTGACAGTCCCATAGTGGCAAAAATGACATGTTGTACATTTTTATTTAAATATTTGTACCAACTTTTGAAATGTGAGTAATGTGTTGTTTCATTGCAGACAGTCAGCAAATGAGAAAAATAAATCTTTAGCGAAGGCTAGGCTGACAAAATTCAGAGAAAAGATTTACAGCGACACAGAACTGCTG